GTCTGCCTCACAGACTAAAACTGGTAGTTGGTTCCACAGGAGAGGAGCCTGATAACTAAGACTGGTCTGCGATATCAGAGCCATGCATTTTGTCCCTGCATTCATCTTCACTGACCTCGTCTGTCAGGAGTTTCTTGGCACCTTAATGACATCAGGCAATGTTCAAAGAATTCTACCTTTAAAAATTCTAGGAACCACTAGTAAATCTGCAGACTGAGAGCAAAGTGCTCTGTTAGGAACATAAGGAACAATCATATCTCTGATAATAATCTCTTCTGTGAGAAGGAGGATTTTAAATTTTAAGTTAAGTATTTTGTTACTTTTTTTCAGGTATAACACTACTTTGCTCTAACCACCAGCAGGGGGAACTCTAACCAAACAAACCTAAATGGATCATATTTAGCTCTAAGTTTGTAAAATGATATACACATTCAGCAATGTCTCTAAGACCTGTATATGTCTGAGATTGTGATTACTCATAGACAAACATTAGCTCTGTTTTATTTTTTTCTCATTTCAATGTCAACATTATTGGCTAAAGGTTTACATGTTTACTTTCTTTATTGCATTTTGATAAACAACTTATTTAACAAGGAACAGTGACATCACTCTCAAACCCCATCTAGATATTTCTTGGTTATAAAACGGTGATTAACTTGCACAGGCAGCTTTAAATGCCTTTCCAGGCTTTATTGTGCAAAGAACAGGGTCACTGCCAACAGCTTTTGTTACTGTTGCAACGCGTGTTTGTTATATTCTTCCTCAAATGCTTGGGATAATGAGATTAGAGGTTTAATGTGGAGTAAACCCTCTTATAAACATCTTATCAGAAACCTTACAGCAAAATCAGTGCCACTTTTCAAAGGACCACTGCTGAGACGGAGGTTCAGCTCACAAACTCCTACTTCCTAAACACAAAATGGCAAACATTCTTTTTCTTGCAATATCTTTGCTAATTTTGGGGGATGTTGCCTTTTCACATGCCTCATTTCCACCCAGCCTTATTGAGGACATCGCAAAAATCGTCATGGACAATTACTGCTCACCAGAGAAGCTTGTAGGGATGAAGGAGGACATTGCAGCAGCCACAAACAACACAGAGGTCCTCAACATCCCAGACGGCGAGTTATTGGCTAATATCCTAACCAGTGGAGTCCAAACTACCGTGAGCGATCCACGGCTGCAGGTCTCCTATGAGCCAAACTATGTTCCTGTGGTCCGTCCAGAGCTGCCTCCTTTGCCCCCTGAACAGCTTGCTGCTGTTCTCCAGACATCCATAAAGCTAGATGTCCTGGAAGGTAACATTGGCTACCTAAGAATTGATCACATCCTTGGGGAGGAGGTTGCTGACAAGGTTGGCCCGTTGCTTGTAGACTTAGTTTGGAATAAAATCTTGCCCACCTCAGCTCTGATCTTTGACTTGCGTTACACTGGCAGCGGGGACCTCTCCGGCATCCCCTACATAGTCTCTTACTTCACCCAAGCTGAGCCTGTAATTCACATTGACAGCATTTATGACCGACCTTCGAACACCACCACCAAGCTGCTGTCTATGTCAACACTGCTGGGAGAGAGATACAGTATAAACAAGCCCCTTTTTATCCTCACAAGCAAAAACACAAATGGCATTGCTGAAGATGTTGCCTTCTGCCTCAAGAACCTGAAAAGGGCCACTGTTGTTGGTGAGAAGACCGCTGGGGGCTCAGTGAAGGTTGATAAACTTAAAGTGGGTAACACTGACTTCTACATCACCCTGCCTACTGCAAAGTCCATCAACCCCATCACAGCCTCGACCTGGGAGCTCACAGGTGTGACCCCAGATGTGGAAGTCGATGCAGAGGATGCCCTTGCTACCGCAATTGCAATCATCAACCTCAGAGCTCAAGTGCCAGCCATCATTGAGGAATCTGCAAGCTTGATTGCCAACAATTATGCCTTTGAGAGTGTCGGGGCAGATGTTGCAGAGAAGCTCAGAGACCTCCTGGCAAAAGGGGAATTCAGCACCATTAATGATAAAGACGGTCTCGAGACGAAGCTGTCAGCTGATCTCCAAACCCTTTCTGGCGACAAAAGCCTAAAGACCACCAGCAACACCCCAGCCCTGCCACCAGTTGTAAGTGTTCTTTTGTTGTTTCAGAGAAAATTTTTCAAAGCAAGTCTTAAGCCGGGCATACACTGTACAATTTTTTCAAATGTTGCATGCAGCTACAGCTCACACTGTATGACGAAACCGCGAGTTCACAGCTCACGATGTTTGTTCTCATACTGTGTGGCCCAACGCTCTAATACGATCTACCTGCTCACACTGTACGTCTAAAAACCACGTGAGACTCAGCTCCATAGTGAGATGGCGCTACTCGGACTCGTCTATCTGGAAGCCAAATGAGTAGAAGAGGAATATGAAGCTCACTAGAGTGAAACGCGCTGCCTTGGCAATTTTTTGCTGAAAGCCCTAAAAAGAAAAGGCAACGACGTATTTGGACAAAGACATGGCGGAGCAGACGTGGATACTACGATCTGTCAATCTTAAAGAATAAAGTCCAGTTCACTCACATCCCCACCATGGTTCTACGTTTTCATCTGAGAGAAAGAAGAAGAATCCTTGTTTGCGCACTAAGCGATTTGTTTACGACCACCTTACAATGGCCGAATGAATTTCTAACATGTTTGATTTTCTCCCAACCTTATTTATAATACCTGATCAGGAGATGGTCATTAGAGGCTGATCGCCCCTCGTTACGCCCTTTACACTAAACGGTGCACAAACAGGCTGAAACTCGACCCGATCGACCGGCTTTATTAAGAAAACACTTCTGGGTAATTTTTCTCAATAGAAGACAGCTGGAAAATAAAAGTGCTTGAACAGCAATGTATCATTTTCTGGTGTAGATGACATACTCCAAACATGATCCATGTGGAAGGGTCAATGTAAAGAATATTTTGATGTAAGATGTCTTTTGTGACGCTAATGCCTGTCCGGTGCTCACTCTGCAGGATTATTCTCCAGAGATGTACATTGAGCTGATCAAAATCTCCTTTCACTCTGATGTTTTTGAAAACAACATTGGCTACCTGCGATTTGACATGTTTGGAGACTTTGAAGAAGTAAAGCCCATCGCCCAGATAATTGTGGAGCATGTCTGGAACAAAGTCCTAAACACAGACGCTATGATCATTGATCTCAGGTGGGGTTTTTGTTTTTTTGTTATTATTTTTATTCTAAATTAAAATATTACCCTACTCAGACAAGTAAAAATCAGTCATTCATAAAAAAATAAGTGTTCTGTTTTTTTTCTGTTTACTTTGTGTTTTTTGGACACTCAGGAACAATGTTGGTGGACCAACAACAGCCATTGCAGGCTTTTGCTCTTACTTTTTTGATGGGGATAAGCAGATCCTTTTGGACAAACTGTATGACAGACCTTCTGGAACCACCACCGAGCTGCTGACTCTCTCTGAACTCACTGGTAATTCCTCAGACTTACTTTTAGCATAATATCTAAATAACATTGAATAAAGGGCTGGTTATCCTCCCGCAGCAGTGTGTAGCAGTGAGCTTGTCGCAGGCATAACAAAGATATTTTTTA